CCTGCTGTTTAATACTGTAACATTTCAGTACCGTATGCTTAGAAACACTCAAAATACTGCTTTGCGACTATACATTTTTGTAATCTGACTGTCGTGCAAGTATATCACCTGTGCTTAACTTCAAATAAGTGAATGTTTTCATTCACATGAATTCGTTTAAATTGGTAATGAACCCAGGCTAAACATGTGTGTAAGTGTCTGTAGAATTGGGGCCTTACCTGTTAAGCTGATTTCTTCTGTATAGTAGCTTAGACCTGGTCTAAACTGGAAAGATTTTATGCTTAATACAAAAAAACCCTGTATCCTCGCAAGTTCTTTTGGTTTGTGTTATCAAACTACAAAGTATTTGCTTCAAAGTTCCATGCTCTGTTTCAGAATCAACCACACCACTCTAAGATTGGTGTGAACTGATGCCAGTTGCAGGCTCATAATACTCCTTCAGTAGGTTTGCCCCGTACTCATTGTTTTAGTAACCTCCAGACCAGCTGTCTTCCTCGTGTTTAGATATTGGGATATGCAAATAGCATCTGTTTGCTGCAGATCCAGGTTTTGTAAAATTAGGACTCTAAAACTGACCACAGCATTTCCAACAAAGATTCTGGACCCTCTCTCAGTGAAGAGTTAAGTGAGCATAATTAGATTATGTTCCCAGTAGCTAAGAAATCACTGACACCACGCAGCACTACATAGTTGAACAAACCTCCAGGAAAGAGTAAATCAAGGATGTGTATCACAGTCGAGAAACCTGATGCAGATATATTAAAAACACCAAATACAAAAGCCTTCAGAAGAGCATTCCTAGGACGTGTGTGCTACATGGAGATGAACTGAATTTGGCAGAGAGGCGCTCTCGGAATGGTGAGCATTGTGCCCAAATGAAAGCGGAAACACAGCTGGAAGCCACACAGGCACCTGTGGACTTAAACTACAAGAGAAATTCCCTGGACAGCCAAGGCTATTTTATGAAAGATCAAATATGATGCCTCCCAGGAAAACAGACCGTCCTGCAGAGCGAACCTCATTTGGTAAGTACAAAGAATGTTTTTATTCTTACTTGTACTATTCCGTGCGGTGTCAAGTAAATTTGGAAGCGCCTCTTCCAGGTAGTGGATGTTGCCTTTAGATCCCCTGGATGTTAGTACAGCAGATTGTGAACAAGGCTGCTGTCTGGTTCTCTGAGCTAAGTGAGCTCTGGCTTTTCTCATGGTGGAACTATTAATCTGTGAAGAAGCTTACTAACTGCATTAAACACATACAGATGCCAAAGGCACTATATAGCCCCAATCCTAATGCTGCTATATGCTAAATTTTCCTGATTTTAAATTGCCTCTGCCTCACATTTGTGCTTTCTTACCAGTTTATGAGGATACAATAGGATGGATTATCTTAATTGATGTATCCACTGCTTCAGGCAGTCATAGTTTTGTGAAGTAAAAACTAAGAGGGAAAACTGAGACCGAAGCTGGTCTCTAAGGTTTTTAACTTCACATATGTAAAAGTGTTAACATTTAAATATACTTGCCAGTTGAGGTTAAGGAGCTTTTCTTAAGTGTTGCATCTGTAAATATATGTAGCTGAAGAAGCTTTAAAAGGTTTCTAGCTTTTTTTTTTTTATCCTTGCTGTACATTTCAGTGTTAAACAAAAAAAAGGCGTACAGCATACCTTCAAAATTCTGTGTATTTTGAAAATGGTTTGTGATTATCAGCTGGTGTTAATAAATAGTACGCATGTTACAAAGTCAATGCAGTTTTCCCCAGGCATCTATGTTTGTAGTATTTCCTTTCCAGAAGCAGCTCAGATGCTGTTTTATAAGCATAGAGCACTGTCCATAACATTCTCCAGTTATCCTTTTGCCTTTCTTTATTAATACTGCTTTGCTTTTTGAAGATATAATTGTGGAAATATTAATTTCTCTGAGTTAATTTTTAAGAGTGAAAATAAATGCTGACTGTTTTTATAAAAACATATAATTAGCCACGGTTTTGTTGAGGAATACTGCTACAATATGGAACAACACCTCAACTGGAATAAAAAAAAAAATCTGACATTTGATGTTATCTTGTCTGGGAAGAGGGAAGGGATTGAAATTTGAGAACTGGGCAGTGGGATTGCAAGGAACTAAAGCTTTATTAACACTTATTAGTCTAATAATTGTTCCTTTGATTTCTCTGTTCTCCTAGCATCTTGCATGCCACAGCCCACAGAGGAAGGGATGTTACTAACCGTTTGCTAAACCTGAGGAAAGAGAAGGCAAACATACTTCTTCATCTTTAGCCTTGTGAAGGGATTCCAGCAACAGGCAAAGTGCCCAAAGAGAGGAAGAGTTTGTGTTTCAAGACAAGCTCAAGAGCAAATGCATGTGTGACATGCTGAGAAATTATCAAGGGATCAAATGGAGAAGTTGGGAAGAATAAGGGACATAAAGGAGAAGACCATTGGACGTGATGCAAAAGCTGCTAAACGTGCTGGAGAACTTTGTTTCACTTTGCTCGTGTGTAACGTCCTAAAGCAATCCAGTCCTGTAGCCTGTCGTTCTTCCAACTGTAAGCCATAGGCAGTCCCTCCAGGCATTCCTCCCCAGGATGAGGGAGCACATATGGTCCCACTTGCACATTTCTGAAGCCCTTCTAAAAATGTGTCCAGCCTCCACATTAGGTCACTTGTCCCATCATGTTAGTTCTTTCCCTTTGCACTATCCTTTTGTGCTAAAGCAGTCATTTTGGTTATAATCTGCACTTAATTGGAAAGAATTATTAAAGGGTAGGTCACCCTAATAATAGCCATTTGTAATAAAATTGAAATACTCAAACCATATGTAACACATTGTATTCATTTTATTCATTGCACTATCATAGAGCTTCCTCTGAATCTTTGCTCATAAAATCCGAGCACAGAATTTCTGTGATCCCAGTTCCCCAGATCTTACAGATATTTGAAAAGAGGAAAGATTAGCTATTCAAAAAATATCCCAAAGTTATCTTTTCAACTTCCATCTGTTCTCTCAGGTGTTGTGATGTTGGGCAAAATTCGGGGAACTCGTGAGGCAGAGATTATAGCAGGGTGTCATTGACCAATGGAGTGGGTGGCAAGGGGTTGCTTGGTCAGACTCGAATAGCACAGACTTGTTGGACTCAACAGAGGCTGAAAACGTCGGCTTTGCTTGAGGCAGAACACTGCAAGTAAGCAGGTTGGCAACATCTTCACTCTTTGAAAAATCATTTCCCCAACGTGCTTAATCTTCTAAATTTGAGGAAGAAAGGGGGACTGTCTGGTGCACCATTCTTGGAAGCTTGCCAATCCCTGCCTTAGAGCAGGATTCAGCCTGTGATTAAACACCTCTGCTTTCCTTTCTGTCTTCCAAATGCTCACTGATCATTCTGCCTCAGCTGAAGACATTTAAATGCCTAGAAAAGCTTCTGAAACGCCAAGGAAACAAAGACACAGTCTTACATTATTGTATTTAGTACTACAACACCATTTAGATATGTAATTAAGTGAGCAAACACCGGACCTTTTCCAATCCACTGCATGTAAACGTTAGCAAACTTCCTACAATATCCAACTTGACGCACCTTCTCGCTGAGCAGGAAAGGCCTGGTATCAGAATCTTTAGAAAAATCATCTTTAGTCTGTGTGACAGGTGGAGGGAAACTTCTTGCTCCCCAGAACTTTGTTTGCAAAAACATGCCAGTGAACTGAAACCCCATTTAGAGGACTGATGACAGCTGAGTGGGTTCTCTCAATAGCCTTCAGAAATTGTAGGAAAGCATTGCTAAGCTTTGATCTTGGCCCAAAGGCCAGTATGAACACACACCATTTTGATAATCCTGGCAATTGGTTTTTACCTACAAACCAGCGTGGATGAAAACAAGTTACCATGCTATAGAAAAATGCACTAATCCACTGTGACTGTAAAAGCATCGTGGAACAGATCTGTAAGACTGACTTCACAGGATGCTGCAAGAGTAATCTTCTCTAGTTTGTAGTTACAAACTTGTTCTGCTATCCTTTTCTCCAAATCAGTATTTGATTTGGGGTTATTAACTATTTCCAGGCTGCAGAGGGGGGGAAAAAATACTTTGTTCTCTGGCAATATCTGTGGTGTACCACAACAATTGAATTAGAACATTTTTGGCCTGCAAAATTCACAGTTTACCTACTTGCTAGTGTAGCTGAAATACCATTGCATCCCAGATCCTTAGCAGTCCTTAAAAACTACTTGAAAATGGAAATACACTGTGTTCTTTATTAAGAGCAGTAACAAAAAACGAAGCCAGTCCTACTCTGGTGTAAAAAAAAACCCAAAAAACTAACAAAAAAACCCCAACCCAACCAAACCTTAGTTATGCATATTAGCTTGTGATAAGTTTGGCTTGGGTATGAATATACAGTCTGCCAGGTGAATAGTGCATAATGCAATGCATTTGTTCAGACTGGGAGAGGGAGAAGCAAAATCACAGCCCAGCAGAGATGCTGTCATTTTAAAAGGGAAGTGACACACACCTTATAACTGAAGCTAGGTGAGCCTTGATTTTTAATTATAAGTACTTGCCTAACCAGGAAAATAAAAATCAAAGCCAAAATCTCGTAGCCCAAACCTCTTTTAAGAAAAATCTTTCCTGAGTAGACCAGCTCTTAAATATGTGAAACATCACGTTGGTGAGTTAAATGAAGTTGAGGAAAATCAGTGTTGCAATTTTCTTTCATACTTGCAATGGTACAAGTTAGTTCACTTTACAAGTTCTAAGATCTGGTGGAGGTACTGTATATGATTTTATAACATCGTTTGTTTATCTATAAAGTAGTGTGTTTGGGCACTTTCTTGCGTTACCTTCCTCTTTCCCGTGAAAGCGATTTTGTGGAGTAGTCAGTCTGTGGGCACCACTTGCTATGGTTGACAAAGGGTGAAAAATCTACATCTGTCTGCAATTACTTCTGTCTTCTGACCAAACGTCTTTCTGTTTCGTCTTGATAAAAAAGGAGGGAATTCAGGATATGTTTGCTGGCACTATGTTTGCATAGCCCACAAAACTAGTTTTGTAATTCGCCTGGAATAGGCGATGCCACCCTCTTCTAAATGATGGTGGCTGGTCCTTTTTGTTCCAGTGTTCCTCCTACCTTCCTGGAGTAATTAAAATTTAGGAATACTCTTAAGACTAGGCTTTTGGTGGCTAAGAGGATTGCTGCATTCTTTGTGGTGATACGTCTTCTATAGACCGGGATCTTGGTGTGGATCAAGATACACAGGCAGAGGCCGGTGGTCATCTCTTCTGAGCTCGTGACCTTGTAAGGCCATATTAGCTAGCAAACTGCTTGTGTCTTTCTCTTCACCAATTACCTTTTCCAAGCAAAATTCCAAAAATAGCCTATCTTTTCCTACGTGTCCCTAGGACACCTGTTAACGTATAGATGGAGCACGTGGCTAACTGCTTAGAAGATTCCTGTCTCTGTGGTGTCTAAAGCCCAGAGATCCTCCCAGGAGTAGTTTATAGACTCCAAAAATGAGACTTCATTATCAGTATGTAATTGGTTTTTAAAGATCTGAACCTTCCTCAGAATTTAGTGAGTAGAAAAAGCTATTCAAATTCTTCTCAAACATGGTGTGACCTGGTATGCCATCTGTGCTAGCAACATGATGGGCATGATGACCCGTGACCACAAAGACAGAAGTATTTGCAGATTCCCTTAGCAAATGACCATTTATGACTCAAAGGAGGATGTAATTGAAACAATATTTCTGCAATTTGTTTCTCTTTCGCTTGGCTTACCCATCACAGAAAATCTGATTGCTTCTCTTAGTGTGGTGTGGCAGAGCTCCAGTGCTGTCTCACAGTCACTCCTGGTGCAATGAGCTGATGTTTGTTGTTACATGTTTCCCTTAGTTTCATTATTACTGAGATCTCTTAGGAAGTTTGAAGATGAGTTAGCTATCCCAGCAATAACAGAACTGACCTGGCTGAGACCTCTTAGGCTTTTCTTCTGTAATCTTTCTGTGCAGCATCTGATACACATGTCTTAACGTGAAAATGCAGTTCCTTAGAGTGTCAGCCAAGTCCTGCACCTGTGTTTGTGCAGTGTCCCACCTCCTGACGTGGGTTCTAGTTGCATGATTTCCTTCAGGTGTTCAGGAGTTCAAAACTTCCTCATCTACAGTAGAAAAGATGTTGCCCAAAGCCACGTTAGCAATGAATGAAAACTTTAGCTTATGTGTATGCCCATCAACTCCATCTAAAAAATGTTTCTGAAATTCTGAGCGTCTCTTGAAATGCTGGGCTGTTCAAGGCCCGTTCGCAGAGGTTTGAATATTGGCAGTTTCAGTTCATTGCTTCCCAGTACCTTCCTGATATTTATATTCTGTCACGTGACAATAGGTAACTATTTCACAAAAAGAGTTCGGCAGGGTTATACCCCCTACCTGTTCTTCCCCAGTCCACTTTCCAAACATAATCTGTATACTTAATAGATTACAAGACTTATTACAAGACTTATTAGGCTGTTATTCAAATTAATTTGCAAGCGCTCTGCTTTGCCATTCTCAGTTGTGAGGCTGTTGGCCAGGAAGGAAAAGATGACAGGTATTTAGGATACAGAGGGCACTGAGTTCAGTGTCAAAGCACATAAACTGTTCAATGAAAGATGGGATAGTTGTCTTCAGAGCAGACCCGTTTCTGAAAAAATGACAAGAGATCCTGTCAGAAATGTTATTTGCCCCTAAAGATCTTTGGGGAGGCCAGGGAGCGTTTGCTTACAGGAGGCAGCGCCAGGACCTATTGCTGTTATATGCTGCTCTGTGATTTATTTCTGACACTTCTCCCTTCGGGCATTGCCTTTGTGGCCGTGGTAAGTAGCCCTTGAGTAGCTGAATGGCCAGAGTACTCTACTCCTGTAGTAGGAGTCGTGCTTTCTCGTAAGTTCTAAAAACCTTGTCAGGTACCATGTATATTTTAACATAAAGTTGTCTTTGACAAACATTTCTTATTTAATTTTAACCTTATATCCGTTAAATGGAATCGTTAGACTTAACAGTGACTGACCTTGACTTGAAAAGAGATAAATACCGAGTTATTGCACTTAAACAAAATAACCATGTACTCAGAGAACTGACATTCTGCCTTCTTGCAGATGAAAAAGCAAATGTCTAGAAATTTTGTCTTTTGAGTATACAGTTCTTGATACCGTAAATTAAAGACTATATCTATGTTAAGGACTGGCAGAATTTGCATTTCTTCAGAAAACTTCTCTGTATAGTCTGAATGCTTATTTTCAAGGCAAATGTATTGCATTGCCTGACTGTAGCACTGTAACTAACATTTAGAATGTTTCACCATTCAAAGTTATTTCTTAAAGGTTGAGGTTAAGAGGTGGTATGTTTATTCTTAGTTTCAGTAATACGTATTACATTGGCCATTATATTAATCAATTATGTTGAGTGACCAGTATGTAATTTTCAGTCTTTCTTCATTGAACAATAAGCCCATCAATATGATTTGGTTTGTGACACCTTCTGACTGTAATGTTGATGTGAGATGTTAAGCATTTTTAGTTCTCAGCGGGCTGCCATTAAAAAGTGTATTGCGTTAACTCTGAAGTGAGGAAACTGCAGAGCAGCTTGCCATCTGCACTGCGTACTGGGCTGCGTTAATTTTTCAGATCGGGATTTACGATGACTAGTTTGCCATGGTATGTTAGGGGTTTTTGTTTTGTTTAAACTTGGAACACTTCACAGCCATGTAATTAGGTAGTTTGTGCAGCAGAGAGTTGTTAAAGTTGATCACAGGAGAGTAGAGATCATTCATTATAAATTGTTTTTACACAGGCCTTTAGATCAGTTTTTTTTAACATATGTATTACTATAGTTGAAAAGGACTTACCACACCCACTATACAATATTTGAAGCCATTTGTAGACCTAAATCCTCTTTTTCCTTGACTTTGTTTCTCAGACCACCAATTCTCCCTAGTCCTTCTCCTTCAAAATCCATTCCAATCCCACAGCCCCTCCGACCAGCAGATGAAGACCATCGGAATCAATTTGGGCAACGCGACCGATCCTCTTCAGCTCCCAATGTTCACATCAATACAATCGAGCCAGTCAATATTGATGTAAGTATTAACGTTTGGATCAGTTATAGTAAATTGGATGTTTCCCTTACGAATTAGATTTATGTGCAATAAATTTATCATGTACAGATTAGTGCTGTGTTTCCAAGCTAATCCTTGATGGTCTGTGAGAATCTTCGTAGATTCCATGTAAGACATTTTTACTACTGAGAGCTTTAAGTATGCAAATAAGCCATTCTCCAAAGCAGAAACTGACTTTTGACAGTCCTGCCCTTTCATTTTCAAAGAAACAGTCTACCACAAACTACTGCTCTTTTTTCTTTTTTGCTAACAATCCCAAGACTCGTGCTGCTAGCTGTACCACAGTGTTAAGAATATGAAAGCTGGCAACCACTCTTGCAAACCATTACATGCATATTAAGCCTGACTCTTCATATGCAAGATAGGAATTTTTAGGATTCGTAATTCAAGTAATATTTCTGGCACTGAAGAAAATTATTGCAATAAGCTGAGTTCAGATTTACTGAATGTTCCTTAGGATTTCAATAGCCCAGTATTTATTGTACTGAGCATTCTTTTGGAGCGTTCAGAAACTGCCACACTTAACTTGTTTTTCACGTTTTTGAATTTCTGGATGCTCATTCATAAATAACAATAATGGTTGGTACTGGGTATAAAAAGCAGCTCGGACCTTTAAAAATGTTGGTCGCAACAAACTCTTCCTAATTTTGTGAATGTATACAGCTTGTATTTTACCCTTAAGGCTACTCTCTAGAAAATAGTCATTTGTCAGGTGAGCAGTCTCAAAGTCTTCCTGGACGCTGAGGCACAAAATCCGTTTTGCATGGAAGCTGAGCAAAAGGTAAACTGTTAGTTGAACGTTAAGAGTGTGGCCACACTGATGTTTGCATATGGTCCGTGGCAGTGGTGTGGCTGAGAGGCAGAATCAGTACTTTCCACAGCAGTGCAGGTGTACAAAGGGATAAAATAATTGCATAAAAACAAACAAAAAAAAACCCTTGATGATGAAAATAGACATACAGAGTTAAACTGCTAGCATTTTCTAATTTTCTTCTGTTTAGAAAGTCCTTTCAGCCTGGATCTGTTGTAAAAGATACTTTCAGTTCACAGTGGGTTGCAAGTGGAGGAAACCTTTTGCAGTTAGTCATTTCTGAGAAGAGCAGAGTACATCTGGCTATGCAAATGACATGCTTTGTTATGAGAAAAAATGAAGCAGAACTCATTTGACTGACATACCTCAGTACGGGAAATTGACGTCCCAGCTTCTGATATGACAGTTCAAATAATTTGTGCCACAAACACTGTAACTGGAACCTTTGGTTCAGTATTTCTTTGTGTATTTTGGCCAACTGCTTGCTTAAATCAGTATTTTCATGTCAGCATCTAGTTTGAATAGTTTACATTTCATTTTAATACCGAGAGGTGCTATTTTAAAGCAACTAACTTTGAAAAGTTTAGTAATTCTTACAAATAGTTCTTTGAGGTTACTGCTCTTAGTAAGCCAGGGTAGGAAACAACTTCTATTTCGTGGACAACATACGATGTTATGGGTTCTCAGTTTGATAAATCTCAGTTGATTCTGGAATGTAAATTATAATATCTACATTAAACACTTTTTTTATTTATTTGTAGGACTTGATTAGAGACCAGGGTTTGCGAGGAGAGGGAGGTAAGTAGTATTTAAATGAGCTGCCCTGTTACATTTAATTACACAACTACTCTGTCCCTTCCCTTTGTTCTACTTCCTTCTACAAAACACAGGCACAAAGGAAAATATGACTAGTAAAAAAAAAGAATTTGCATTTGCTTGCCCATGAATTTTAATATCTGTCTGACAGAGGTTTGAGTCATTTGCTGGTCGTTCTGGGTGTGGGGGAGACAGAAGGAGAAAAAGTTTTGAAGCAGTATCTAGATTTTTAGTTTTGAAATTATCTTGCACAATTGCTTTTTCACTCTCTCACACACACACTCGTTCACTCACATGCACACAGATACGCTACAACTTCCCAACTCTCTCACAAAGATTTTTATGCCTGTTGTTGCCTTTCCACCTATGGAAACAAAGGGAGTTTTCATTGAAAACCATTAACGTGGTAGATCCACCTTCCATATAAACCGCTGCATCTGAAAGCAGTACAAAATACTCCAGTTCTTCTCCCCCTCTACCCCTGCTGAAGATGCTGCTTTGCTGTACTGCATGCCTGTGCTACTCTTGGAACCGGGTGGTTAGGACCTTATGGTAAAGTCAGATCTTTCTATGTTTTCTTCAGCAAGACGCAGCCCTAATTCACAGTTAAGTCAGAACTAGTGCCAGAAAATTTATTTTTCTTCATGTTACGCACGGGCCTGTTAAGGTACTTATCCCACTGTCTGCCAGGGTCCTGAGAGGGCTCCTTTTGTGCTGTGTTTATTCCTATGAATGTAATAATAATAACAACATAGAAGTAGTAGAAATAAAGAAACAGTAAGGCAGGCGTATGACAGTTTTTCCTGCTCCAAATCATTAACACAGTCATCTCCTACTAATTATAACTTGCTTTAACCAGAAGGAAAGCCTGAATTACCTTAGTGCGCTCTATACTGACCTCTAAGGTTTTGCACTGTGGGCTAGCGCTGGCCTTGTTTCTCCCGTCCAAATCTGGTAGTTGGTGCTTTGGTACCTACCTGTTGTGTGGTGTTTGATTGAGCTGTTTTTTTCTCATGCCAGCAATAGAACACTTCTTTTTAAAAAGAAATTTCCTTTAATCCTGCAAGCCTACTAATTGAAAGTTGCTAGTTTTAGCTATTTTTGTATGTGTTGACAGGTGTGGCTCTCCACAGTTTTGCCCATTTTGTCCAGCATTTAAATGTCGTGCTATCATGTTGGTTTTAACTTCTGATCATAAACTGTCTGCTTGGCATCTGAAAACAATTGGCTATTCCCAGTCCTGAAACAGTGTTATTAGTAATCAACTTAAATTTTTTTTCCTTCAAAGTACAGAAGCAATCTATGAATAGGAGTCAAAGCATCCTAGTTATTTCCCATGACTTCTTTCATTTCTTCTATGTGTCTGTCTTTCTGTCTCTGCCTGCCCGTCTCTTTCTCTCTAACAGCCCCTTTGAACCAGCTGATGCGCTGTCTTCGGAAATACCAATCCCGGACTCCCAGTCCCCTCCTTCATTCTGTCCCCAGTGAAATAGTGTTTGATTTTGAGCCTGGCCCAGTGTTCAGAGGTAGTTGGGCTCTTCTTTCTTGTTTTCACCCAAACAAAATAAGTAAAACCACAGATGCTGTTTGTGCCTCACCCTCACACCGTGTGTATGTAAGTGTGTGAGTTTATCTAAACACCTCTGTTTTTTGCTTGGCCTGGCTGGAATGCTTTGAATGTGCTTTTCACACATACTCACTTCCACCTTTACACGCTTGAAAATTACTATAAATAAAGTCTGACTTAAATCTTCAAACGCAAGGAATTTCATAGTTGAGGTTTTTATGTGGACTGTAACATCATCTTTCTAAACAGAGGTCCTTGGACTGCATTGCAGTGATTGTAAAGACAAAGCTCTGTCCTTAACTTAGAATTTCCTTGACTGTTCAGTTTAAGTCGATTCAGTGCTTTAAAGTTTTCTGTATTTAATATTCTTTGGTTTGAAAAGTAATCTAGAAGATCAAATGTGAATTACAAACGTTTCCATTGATACCTCAAGCTTTTCAAGTAATGTCATGTCAACTTCCAACAAATACTTCATTTTGAGAAGGTGCTGTTGATACCATGCCAGGGCCCTAGATGGTTTAGACCATGTAGTTGTTATTTAGTTAGTAAATGTGAAACAGTATTTGATTGTGTCCTGTACCATGTAAAATAAGACTTTTCCATTTTCATGTCATTGACTCTGGGGTAGTTTCAGGCCTAAAGCTGCCAATGGATCTGTTGTATTGCACAAAATCAAAAAAAAACTCTATGGGATTTCATATGCTGGAGAAACCAACTATTGCGTAATAGCATGAAATGTAAATATTTGTGTCTATACATATTCATGTAGAAGTGGATAGTTCAGTGCATGTAGTGTGGTTTTCAAATGCTACCACCTTGGCTGTTTCAAAGAATTTTGTTTCAGAATATATCAAGAGCAGTTCACCTTATGAACTTCTAAAGTTCTTCCAGGAGTCTTTGTAAGAAGGCAGGTGTTTCCACCAAGGAAACTGACTACAGAATGGAATACATTACAGAGTCCAAGCTAATGACTTAAGTCCAACTTTATCTGAAGTATTCTACCCTAATAACTTGGAAAACAGGCCATCTGGTATTATTATGAACAGATTAATGTTCTACCATGTGCTGTAAGCGTTTTTGGTGAAGGGCGAATATTGTGCTAGTGCTTCTGTATCATGGTGTTAAAATTCAAGTAGGAGACTTTAGTTACCTCTAAAGAAAACACATTCTAGTAGAGCTTTGCCAGTACAGAGACGTCTGTAACGCATTACATTTTTGGATGTGTTGGTATGTCATTATTTTGTGCTTCTACTTCTAAATGTATGGAATTCAGCTCAGTGAGGACAGGCAGTGAGGGATATATATATATAGTCTGGTAAGTTAGTACTCACTGAGTGACTGAACTCAAGCAACAATTTTAGAAGTCAGAAAATCAATTTTTGAACTCAGGCTGGCATTAGGAGACACTCTTTTGGTAAGAAAGGGACTTCTGAAGGAATATGAGGAGGGTTATTGTCTTCTACTTCACAGAGCATCAATGTGAGAGAAAGCGTTGGAACGTTGGAGATCTTGTACAGTGACGTACATTGTTTAGCAGACCATCATGAATTTAATTAACAGTTGACCCTGTTTTATGTCCTTTACATTGGGAGAGTCAGCATAACCTTGTTACAAATAATTATGGTGTATTTTAAAAAAGCTGCGTCTAGTCGAAATGCTCTTATTTGTGAAGAGCCATTGGGGCTCTTAAACACAGTGCTGTTAGTGAGCTGCATTTCCTGTATAGATTATTTAGATAACATGCAGGCTACAGAGGTACTGCTCTTCTTGTATTTAGTATGATAGGTTTCAAATAACTAACTAAAGTACTTGTTCTTTTTTAATCCTTTCTACAGTCTAATATTTACTTTTTAATAAGAGCTCTCTGCTAACAGATCGCTTTAAAACAGCCAAATGGTTTTCAGGTGGCACTTGGAGACTCAACTAGAAAACATTTAAATTTTTTGGATTTCGTCTATTTTGATTCCAAAGCCCAGTATTTCAGCTATTTATTAGGTCTCTGAGAGGTTAGCTACAGGAAATCTGAGAGGTAGCTGCTGATAATTAAGTTGTACCACTTTTCTTCTCAAAGAAACTGGTGGAATTAAAAAATACCTTTGGGGTTTGTTTTTTTTTTTTCCTATTTAAAGAGACATTGTCCCGATAGTTTATGAACAAGAGACTGAGGACTGTCTGGTATACAGGGATGTTTGCTATAGACTTGTCTTTTCCTGAAATCTGAGACTCGAGCATTAATCTAGTATTAGGACAGTATTCCTAGTATGTGTTTGGTCCCTCTCAACATTTACGTTGATGTTTGGAGATACTGCATCTTAAACACAATTCTTGCACCTATTATCAACACATTCTTGTAAGCTGGCTTCTTATAGACAAAATTATCCTGTTTCTGAAATTTAGGTTCAACTGCAGGTTTGTCTGCAACACCTCCTGCCTCTTTGCCGGGGTCACTCACCAATGTGAAAGCATTACAGAAATCACCAGGACCTCAACGGGAAAGGAAATCGTCCTCATCCTCAGAAGACAGAAATAGAATGGTAAGAGAAAGATCAGCTATTTTTATTCATAATATGGTATATTCATAGTATAGAAATACTGTGCAGCCATATTCCCCTCACTTTTCTTTCATCAAAGCCTTCAGAATTATTTTGAAGATAAGTATAGTAATGATCAAGGACTTTAAATCAATAAATAATGGAATATTGAAATTGTGAGACTGATATATAAATTATATAAATAATTGACTATACTCACTTTTACTCCATTGCATCCAAATGTCTTGGTGTGCTTCATATTATAATGCCATTTCCCCTTCAGATAACCTCTTAACGTTTCACACCATAGTTCATGAAGTTTCAGCATTCTCTAGTGATTCCTAAATGTAACGATACATTAGAACTTGCGTGGGTTTTTTTAATTCACAATTTAGCATTATGATTAAAAATTGAAAAATAAATATTTGAGACTTTCTTCCTGGTAAGAATTTCTCAGTACTTACTGGTTCCTAACACAGTCAGAAACCTACAGGAAATATTTCATGCCAGAAGATAATTTAGTATACCAGTGTGTATGGCTGGCTTGAAAAGTCAAATGCCATATCTGAAAAGAAAAGTTCTTTTAGGACTTTAATGATATGAAATGCTGGTACCAAATCTTTAACAAAGGAGCTGTTTTCATAGATGTTAATGCACATGCTTTCTTCGTTTTTGTTGTTTACACGTATGTATGAAGAAAACCCTTGGTCGACGGGATTCAAGTGATGATTGGGAGATACCAGATGGCCAGATCACAGTTGGACAAAGGATAGGATCTGGATCATTTGGAACAGTCTACAAAGGAAAGTGGCACGGTATGTGGCCATCATGGCAAACAGTAATTCTCTAAGCGAGTAACATTGCCTGCAGGAGTGCCACCCAGCTGGAGAGCAGCTTCACAGGAAAGTGTCTGGAGATTCTGGTGGACACTGAGTTGAACATGAGCCAGCAGCGTGCTCGTGCTGCAAGGAAGGCTGTTGATATCCTGGGCTGCATTAGGAAAAGCAATGCCAGCAAATCGAGGGAGGCAGCCTTCCCCTCAGCACTGGGGTGCAGTGTCCAGTTCTGGGCTCCTCAGTACAGAAGAGATGTAGATGTACCGGGGGGAGTCCGTTGAAGGGCAATAAAGATGATTTTTAAATTAATAAATGGTGTGCTAAATAGGTAATGTTAGAACTTCAAACAGGTTAGAAATTCAGTTCATGCACTTTCTTCTGAATCAAGTAATTATTAGGGTAAAGGTGAAACTTAGTTACTAGAAAGGCTGAAGCATCCGTCTTGGTAAGTGAGGATTTCAAGTACATAGTTGGAAAGACTTGACTTGGGTAGGATTTCTCAGAGTAAAATAAGAATAGTGTTTATACATTTTACACAATATTTAGAATAGTGTAGTGATTTATTTCATGAAAGCTAGAAAACAGAGTATCTTAGTATTCCTGATGCTCTATATAGCATTTTCTCAATAGAGGAGTATGTATCAATGGCACTTACTAAAAATTTCTATTTTAAAGGTGATGTGGCAGTGAAAATGTTGAATGTTACAGCACCCACACCTCAACAGTTACAGGCTTTCAAAAATGAAGTAGGAGTGCTCAGGTAAGAATATTTTTAATGGCCTAAAATAATGTGTGTAGATTTATGCTTCATTAATCGTTGAATTCTAGATCTCCAGTAGAACACATTGATCTTGTTCCTCCATGATGATACTTGGTAGAAAATACAACTTGCCATTTTGAAATCTAACTCAGTATCCACTGCTAGTCCTTCCTTCCTCTGTATGTGTTTGTCTGTAGACCTATGTTGTGAATATATGTATTTCCAAACACTCAGGACTAGATTTTGCTGTTGTACTACCCCCAGGGCACAGCCCAAGTGTAGACTGCAGGCCTTTCTTCCTCTCATCTACATTCTGAGATTGAAGGAGAGCATGACTAATTGTTGGGTTTGACCTACAGCACTGCCCATATTAAGCATTGTTTAACAGTTTCTGTTCAGTAGAATTGACTTCTCTTTGAGGGTTTTTTAATTGTGTTTCTCATAAAGTCACTTCTCGAGTTTCTTTTCTCATGCCTACTGTATGTACTTTCTCAGAGGAAGTGTTTGTCTTGAGTTCAGCTCTTAAAAGAGGAATCATCAACATGATACAATAGAATACTTGATGAATACTTAATTTAGCATCCAAGTACATTCTTCAGCAGTCTTAAGATTAATTCTGTTTTAAGAAACAAAATAGAAAGAAGGTTTTTGCGTCTGGAAATCTGATGTTTTGAGCTGGAGCCCTGTGCTGGAGGAGCATCCCCAATAAGCTACACATTGAAAAGAGAATGTTCAGCCTTTTTTTCCAGGAAATGTTAGTTCTGAAAACTCGATAAGTCCATAGTTGTGAAAGTAAGGCTTTCTGGGAAATGCTGCTTTGGATATCCCTGCATATTTTCAACATACCTGCTCAGAAGAACTTAATGAAATCAAAAAACTTGTCTTTCATGCCTACTCCAGATTACTGCTGGCAGTCCTGTAACTGGAGTGTAGCCTTTCTCTGTCATTGATTTTTTCAGCACTTCCAGTAAATAATCAGTTGTCCTAGCCTTTCACCCAGACAAACCAGACTTACCTGTAGTCATGCCTTTTCCATTATGCTTAGTCATTGCTTCCATAGCTTTGATGTAGGATTTGCAAGAAACCACTGATTTTTCTGTTCAGTCAGCAGTTACTCTCAGCATCGCTTGACAAATCCTTGAACCTGAAAACGGCACAGTCACATAGCGTAAAACTGTCCTAGTCTACACTGCTGAGAGGGCAAAGGAGTTCACACTGTAAGCTCCCATGTTATTTTTTTAGTATAAGAAAACGTAAAGAGCTCTGCCATTTCCATAGATTTAAGAAGCTCCCACAGGTTTTAAGCTTGGTCTGTCAGGTTTCGTCAACAATGAGCCGACTGCCTTCGGTACCAAGTTGTGTTGGAGGAAGATAGCCTTTGTTGTTCCTCAGCCCCTGCAAAAGCTGGGAAATGGGCCAGAATTCTTTAGGTGCCTCATCTTTGTAATATCTCACTGGTATGTTTGGAGGTATCTAGTTCTTCATGCCCATTTAATGACAGTAAGAATGCGATTGACTTTTCCTAGAACATAAGGAGAATATTTCAGATTTCATAGTGTATCAGATTTTTTCAGGCTTTGAATCTACTGGGATATCTACTGAGATAATCCTTTTTGTGTTGTTCACTGTGAAGCTTTTCTGTCAAGTTGCTCCATCTTTGAAATAGGTTTGATCTGGTCTGACCAAATCTCTGTGGTGAACTCAAGTCTCTCCCAGTGCTGTTTGGAAACAAGTTCATATCATAACCTTACTGAGGTACCTGCCTCAGAGTTTTCATACCTCTTTCCATCTTCTCTTGTATGCTGGCTCCATAGAGAGTACAAAATTCTTGTCAAATAAAGCACTGAGAAAAACCGAAGCCTTGTCAAAGAAGTGTGTTGATGGTTTCTGCAAGAAAGGATTCTCCTTTCTCAAAGCCTCTGAGAATAGCATTTAATTTTGGGTGTCCTCTTTATAGGCAGTGACATCTGATAGCTGGACTGAGGTTACAGAAAAGCAGTCCTGCCTGCAAACCATCGCGTCCCGTGGAGACCTAGTGGTAACAGCGTCTTCTGAACAGTCCTGTGCTGGATTGCTTGCAAAAGGGGCAGTAGTGCTTACTCAGAATAGCTATTCCATGTCGTTGTGATAAGAAATTATTCCAGCTAACTACTGGAAAACTGAATCTAGCAAGAGGTTATCATGTTTTCTTAGTAAAAGTTAAGATTGAGCCCACAACTTCTGTTTGGAAATTTATATTTAGACTATGATAGATCTGCCTGAGTTTTTCCTGAATTCCTGATCCACCTGATTTCCTCCTGATTTTTTTCTTCAACAGGAAAACACGACATGTGAATATCCTGCTTTTCATGGGTTATTCAACAAAACCCCAGTTGGCTATTGTTACACAATGGTGTGAGGGGTCCAGCTTATATCACCATCTACACATCATTGAGACTAAATTTGAAATGATCAAACTAATTGATATTGCACGACAGACTGCACAAGGCATGGAGTAAGTATTGTATTACTTTTTTTGCTACGGAACACTGGGGAAATGTTTACTTATCCCCTCCACACTCTGACTGGCATTGGCAAATAAGGCCAACCATCTGCTCACCTTGCCAAGCCCAGGGTCCTGCCTTGCTGATCAAAGCATTTGTTGAAGTGTTTATGATTTCAATTAGTAAAATAGACTGTGGGGTTTTTTTTAACATAGGGAGGTACAAATCATCAGGAAGATGTAGTCTTAGGTAGTAAAGATAATTACAATGTAGTTAAACTTTCAGTCTTGTGAGCAAAGATTTCTGTTCCGTGCTTTGTGATCTTCACAGTGCAGATAGTCTTATGGTAGGAGGTGGAACATATTTTTAAAAAAAACACCCTGTGAACAAAAGGACCAGAATCCTGTAAGTTAAGACAGAAGGCAGACAGTCAAGTTAGCAAAAAGAATCTTTTTTTTTCTCCTTTTCTTAAAAGTATTGTAGCTCTCTAAATAATAGATTTCAGCATTTGAGGAAAACATCTCTTTTATTCTAAGGATTGTAAATAATCCTTATTCCCATAGAGGGCAATTGAGTGAGTTGGAATTTACAGAACTAGCCTAGTACTGAGTGTCAAAATCAGATCACTGATGTAAGATCAGAGAAATCGCCCTCCAGCTGGAAAACCACTGTGACACTTGCTGTTCATTGTGCCATTTTTCTGCTAAATATTCTATTACGTTTTCAATCAGGAGGTGGGGAGGTGTTCACAGCAACCAGCCTCAGCCTTCTGTTAGCCCGCTCGTCTCTGTAGGTAGTGGAGATGCATGAGCGTGATTCAAAGCAGAGACATAAACTGGGGCTTTTCCAGCAGGTTTGTGCCAATCTTGTTGACTAAAACAAAGAGCCATGGGAGACTATTTGCCTAATTTAGGTTCTATCTGTGCTGTGGGGCAAGTACTTTCCTCTGTGTTCCCTGCAATCTATTTATCCAGTCTAAAATCAAGAGATCTTTTTTCCAGGCCCGTACTAAAAACCAGTCAGCATGCTTGAGGGCACACTGAGACTGGAAAGCAGGCTTAGCTCTCACAATTTATAAACGCCTTACCTAAAGCTGTTACTAGCCCGCAGAGTATCTTGACAGTCACCATAAATACTAGGAGGCAGAACCTTCAGCACTGAATGGCATGTCAAAAACTACTGAAGTTCTGTTTTTATCTAAATATTGAGTTAGATCTGAAAAACAGAAGTTGGTGCATAATCGTTATTTCGTTCTTCAGTAGCATCAGATTTGAGCTGGAAGTCTAAGCTTTTTTTTCTTTTCTTTTTTTTCCTGTGGCTGTTGCAGAAAGTCTTATGGGTAACTGAAGTTTTACCACCTTGACAAATATGTGCAGTTTGGATGTCTACAGAACTTGTGTTTCAGTAATACAGTGAATTTTGAGTTGTTGATCAGTGAAATATCGAAATATCATTTAACTCACCAAACCTTTGATGTTTCCTTTCAGTTATTTGCATGCCAAGTCAATCATCCACAGAGACCTCAAGAGTAATAGTATCCTTTCCCAGAGACGTGATTGTGGAATGTGGCAGCATTCCTGTGGGGCTTTTTTCCTGCCAGAAATTAGCTTACTGATGTAAAAAGCTGTTTATCTGTGAATATTTGCCAAGCTGAAATTTCATTGCGAAGGGATAATATCAGTAGTGGCAAAGTAAGGAATACTTACTATGTCTATTAATGTGATTGCAGTAACATAGCAAGTTTTGTTGTGTCACAAAGATTTTTGCGTCATTTTGTTTCTGCATGTAACGAAACGGAACATTTTCAGCTTTTCACATACTTGGCATTTCAGGAAAGCCACCTGGGCCATGGTCTGTTCAGTGTTGGCCCGCTCATTACTTACATAATCCTTAAGTACTATAATCCACTATACTGGTTGCTTGAAACCTGTGTTATATGAAAGCCTTCTTCAGTGCTCCTGCGTGGTTAAAACTGCCAGGTCTAATGTTGCAGATTTCTGGCTGTTTATTGTTCGTGTGGGACGGGACTGGTACCTCTTGTTTGTTTTTCCTTAACATTTCCTCCTTAGATATTTTTCTTCATGAAGACCTCACAGTAAAAATAGGTGATTTTGGTCTAGCTACAGTGAAATCACGATGGAGTGGATCCCATCAGTTTGAACAGTTGTCTGGATCTATTCTATGGATGGTAAGCAAGGGGCAAGTGATATGTTTGTTTCAACAAATTTAATTGCCTTTGGCCAAAGCTGTTAAGACCACTCCTTCTCCCTCCAGTACACTGATATATACAAGACATCTTAAGCTGGAAAAGACAAGCTGAAGGCTTTTAAGTTCTTCTTTAAGTGTATGTTTCCCAGTAGTCAGCAAAAAAACTTTAGTGTCTTCATGCCTTATTCTGAGATTTAAATTGAAAAGAAAATGGTGGCTAAGGAAAAAGGGTATGATTAATCCAGGGTTGAGGAGAAGGTGAGAGAAAAGCCATGGAAAACATCCTTCAAATGAGCAGAGGAACTAGCTCAGCCAAAAAGTAAGATGCTCTTAAGTTCAAAGGATTCAAACATAGTTACTCTCAAGAATTCATATAACCTGCTTAAGTCTTAATAATTTCGTTACAACCTCCCGTGCAACTCCGCTTTCTCCTTTTCTACCTGAAAAAACGTAAGGCTCTGTTGTCTGGAATTGGTTCCAGTGGTGTTATAACTCTAGTTTCAAAATAGCTTCTCAGCATGTACAAGGACACTTTGTTCTGTCGTAGAAGAATAAAGGCATCACCAAATTAAAATGAACCAAAGGATTTTGAGATCTGTGTCAACATCCACTCTGTATTAGGACCCGATCATGCTGGAAGGCAGGAGTGGGCCTTGCATCTGCTGTACTCCAAACAAGTCCATGGTTTGCTCTTAGTATGTGAGGTGCAGCCCAACGTGGTGAAATAAAAACTGGTTCTTTCCTTGGTTTTTGTGGTACAGGCACCAGAAGTTATTAGGATGCAAGATAAAAACCCATATAGCTTTCAGTCGGACGTGTACGCATTTGGGATTGTTCTTTATGAACTGATGACTGGACAGTTGCCGTACTCCAACATCAACAACAGGGACCAGGTAAGGGAAGGGAAGGGATTGTCTTCACTACCCTGTGGCCCGAGACAGGGGTTGATGCAGCCTCAGGAAATGCACCTTTCTGCTATTTTGTGCATTTCATTTGTGTTTCCAATTCTGATGTTATGACATGACGTTTCTACATTTTCTAGATCTGCCTCAGCCACGTAGCAACAATTGACTTCTCTTGAGGTGGTTTTTTTTTGTTCTTTTTTACTTCAAGTATAGATTTTCAGCTTTTGAGCTGGTTGCCAGGATACTTATTAGGGAGAGAACATGTTACTTAATAGTAATCTAGTTTGGAATAGTTCTGCAAAGGCAAAATGATCCTCCATGTATTCTGTTATTCCTCTTTTTTTTCCTTTCTCTCTTTGCATTGAATAATTGTTCAGCAATGGTATTGATAAAATGGAACAGCAACCATCTCACTGAATGTTTTATATTCATTTCAGTCTTGAGAAATGCATGCACCGTTTAATTGAATTTCAGGATGTCAGCATTTCTCAAATCCTGCTTGGTGGAGTGTATGACTTCCCAGAGTGTGCGGATCCTGCAAGAAGATTACTTGATTTTGAACAAATATTCCTTAAGTCTAATGATACTCCATGCCTGTAATGTGTCTCCACAGGCTAGGCGTGTTTGTGAAGGCGTATCTGATTCATTATTTCTCTGTCTAATCTGAAAATAGTGTCTCTGCATCAAGATCTTTGGTGTGAACTATTCCATGTCTGGGAGGTGATATGTTGTTTCTGTGTCCGCATTCCTTGTTTTTTCACTGTCAGTGCTTGAGAACTGCAACCATAGCAACGTTCTGCTGTGAATGTCATTTTATAGGGCTGCTTCCATATTTGTCAGAATACTTCATCCCAATTCATCATATTTAGAGTGACTCCTTTTTTTTTTCATTTTATTACTACTTTTATTTTTAATTGGTTTTGCCTTCTGAAAGAAGGAAGTTGTCCAGATTCCTGGCCAGATGGATATAGCCTTCTAAAGTCAGTGCTTGGGCATTGTTTTGTTTTTACCTTTGGAGATTCAAAAGATGAACTCAGTGATGTGGGTGCTCAAAACTGAGTGCTGGAACGAATTTTTAATTGCAAGTGAAGCCAGCACATGGAATATAATCTAATGCCTTGGGTTTTGTTGCTCCCAGTGTATTGTCTGAAAAGATGTGAAGACTGCTCGCTCCTTGTTGGTACATGTACATAAGCTGCTGTGACACGACACAACTGAGCTTCTTAGTGAGCAAAGCAGTGTCCTTGTCACACCTCAGAGCGTCTCTCACCTTAACAGATTTTTCTAAACAGATAAGGACTGTTCTTGTACTGATGTTCTCTCCTCTCTACATAAAATAAAAATTTAATCCCTATAATATTTGTAAAAAGAGTATTGGAAACATAAATAAGGTATTTGGAATAATTTCAGCGTAAGTAGTGCAATTATTTAGAAAGGAGTAACTTCTAGATTGTGATGTCTTATTGCAGCAGAGGTAAGGGACAGGGTAGACAAGTCTTTACTATGAAAGGCTGCTCTGGCACATGGGGCTTTCTACGGAAACCA